GTTAATATTTCACACACACACAAAAAAGCAAATGATGATTGATGATTTGTTTTCTTTTTAAGAATGATGAATTCTTTCTGAGAACAATGTACCTGGTCGGTAATATAGTCAAAAACCTTCCCAGCCTCAGCAGTTTCAGTAATGTACTGTATGTTATCATATTAGCAACCCTTCTTACAATTTAATCTGTGTTCTTATCTGTAACGAGAAATATATATTAGAAAATAAAGGGGATAAGGTTGTCAAGCTTGAACAAATATAAACACCAATCAACGAACACTACCACAGTTGGCTAATCAGCTCAAGACAAAGTAATTGCAAATGTTCATAATCATGGTTTTTCAAAGATCATTAACCTCATTACAATGAAGCCAAATTCTTCAGGAAATCAGAAATAAATAAATAAACAACTTCATTTTGCAAATAAAAGAATGTTAATGTTGTACATGTTATAATGACTAATTTTATTTTATTTTTTTCTGCCAATGCATGTGTCAAAAACACGACTGACACAGACAAATAACATTAATTAAATCTTACCTGAAGTCACAGTGAGGTTCCAAAAGCCAGACGCCATACACGCTTGCAGAAGCTGCTAAAAATAAGATACCGCTGTATTTTCTAATTAATTTCATAGTTCCCCCAAAACAATTTGAATTATCTCACCACTCACCTTTAAGATGCTCCAAACCATCTAAGACTTTCGTTCATCTTCAAAAGAAAAGCGGAGATATTTTAATAAAAATCAGAGAGTTATGTCCCTCCGATGAAAGAAGATTCACCAAAGATGTTCGTTTCAAAAAGTTGAAATCGCAAAAAAAAAACATCGCCAAAGTAATCCATATGAATTGCGTGGTTTCCTCCAAGTGCCCTAAAGAGACACGATCGGCGACCGCTCTTTATAATACTGTTTAAATTTAGACTTATATTCACATGCAAGAGACATTTGCACGCACATCATATTTTATGTGCGAAGCTCCCTGGGGTGAGCTCATTTTCATACGAACCAATCAGAGCCGTTTAATGGCTCTGGAACCAATCAGGTTTAGTCAGTGTGCTGTTTGAATTTAATTTCAAATTTCAATTTGAATTTCATATATGATGTTGAAATCCTTGTGGGAATTTCAGAAATATATATTAGAAAATAAAGGCGTCAAGCTTGAACAAATTTATAAACACCTAGCTTATTACAATTAATGTATCATGTAATGAACAACCAAAGTAGCATAACATTTTAAGTAAAACTGAACAACATATTAAACAACATATTTTAAATATCGCAATGCTTAATAATAGTTGACAAACGTTTGTACATTGTAAATGTTTAAAATGTTTTTCAAAATATTGTACTTTTCCAAATATCTAAGGGTACACTAAAAAGTCACTAAAAGTATGCTTGTGTTTAGCATATTCCTTAAAAGTGTAACTAAGCATATATTTATTACCAAAGTATTTCTAGTATACTGTTTATAAATACATTAAAAGTATGCTTCTGTTTAGCATATTTCTTAGAAGTATAACTAAGCATATATTTAATACAAAAGTATTTCTAGTATACCTTTTAGAAATATATTAAAATGCAATTCAATATATTTTTAATGCACTTCAAATAAGCATGTTGGGAATACAAATGTATTACAAACATACTACTTGAATTTCAAGTATATTTTTAATACATTTAATACTACGTCTTTTTCACCTGGGTAAGACAATACATTTAGCTAGTAAAGGCCATTTAAACTGATTTAAAAAAAAATCTCAAAATTATAATTGTAATGATTGTTGTCATTTGAGAAATGTACTTTTGCATTTCAGGTAGCCTATTGGTTGCCCATGGTTGACAGATTGATTAAAATAAGCAAATCACAGGGCAGATCAATCTAACAGCGAAGCTCTGATTCGGGGATTAGAACTCTTGGTATCTGGCAACCGCACTCATGAAAGCTCGCGTAGTAGAGACGTGTAGAGCAGTCCGCAATAACATTTTGCCTTCTTTTTTGAGAAAAATAAAATATATTTTATATAATATGTATATAGATATACAGTATATACAGAAGGGCAAGAGATATAATTAGATGATTGACAGGTCTAGTGAATGCGCTCTGACTCATAACACTCGCGCTCATGGAATAAAACGGACGGTGCCCTTCAGATCACATAATTCAGTAGAGAGCAAATAGAAATGTTATTCTGTATAAAAAACATGTGAGAATAAATCTGTTCTCAAATACCAACAATAACAAGAACTCATCATCTACTCTCTTCTCTCTCAGAATAATCTTCTTTGGCATTGGTTTACACTGGTTTTGGAAACAGCGCCACCACACTCATCCTTTTGTGCAAGCATCAGCTCTAGTCACGTGATCTAAGCTGATTGGATGGCCCATTTTGTCACGGAATGATGTGGGAAAAATCAAATCGGCACACAGGACGAAAAAAAAATCCTCTCTTTTTCATGCCGTTGTTTGCATTTGATCGTGCTTGGTATGAATAGCCCCATTAGGGATCTATTTCGATTCAAAAGTGTCAACGCGCCGAACATTCGCCGATTTTCATTTGCCGATTTTCGCGTTCAGTGTGAAAAGGCCTTAACCCCCAAAAATGCTTGCCACAAAGAGAAACGGGTTACAGTTTGCGTGTGGCAGGGAGGCAGGGTGACCGGGAGAGCCCATGCAGTGTTTGAAGAGAGCTTGCAGCTCGCAGCATCGAACAGACGAGCCCTATTGAATCAGGAGCACGATGCGAAACATCCGATGGAGGACTCTTACTGCATCCGACGGGAGCAGTAGCTCACAGCATCGGATGGGAGAGCCCTACCTGTCTTTGAATAAGGATTACGTCTCGAATAATATGTGGAGGGCTCACACTGCATCCGACGGGAGAAGCAGCTCACTGTATCGAAAGGGAGAGCACTACCTGACTTCGAATAAGGAACACGATACGGAATATCAGATGGAGGGCTCAAGGCCTTTCCACACTGAGTGTGAAAAAGCGAAACAAATATCGGACGTGATGACGCACTGGAATAAAACAGTAGATTTCTATGGATGCTTCCACATAGACCGCGAATGCACCAAAAATGCGAATGTTTTTTTTTTTAACCAGTTCGACGAATCTTTTCAGGTTTGCAAAGTGAAAACACTGGCCGCCCAATAAGATTTGAGCTAGGATCACGTGACCGGAGCAGCTGCTGTAGCACAAAAAGGCAAGAGTGGTGGCGCTGTTTTGAAAAGCAGTGTAAACAATCACAAAAGAAGAGTATCCCGGATATTATGGAGACAGATCAGCCTCAAAAATAACACATTTGCAAAACAAAATTCATAAATGCACAGCACAATTTACATTTACAAAATCTGATTCGTAAATTCAAAACACAATTCATAAATACACAAGTAAAAGCATAAATATTTCCCCAAATGCTCACACAAATGCATCTTACCTAAATACATTTAAAATGTTTACACATATATGTATATATCAAGTTCTTGAATTAATTTCCATCATACATTTATGAATGATGTTACATGTATTTATGGATCGTTGAATCTGCATTTGCAAATCGTCACATGTGCGTGGACTGCTTTGAATTTGTGTGTGGTATTTTTGAGACCTTCCTGGCAGGTTAAGATTCATAAATATAATTTTTTGGAGGATGTTCCGTTCAGCCAATCGCGGTGAGCTTTTAATCCACCAATCAAAACGCTCTTTACTGAACAGACTCGAGAAGCTCAAGCTGCGCTTGTACTGTGCAGTGTTCCATGATCGGGTCCTTGATGTAAAGACATTTTAATGGGCAGTGTTGGGCAAGTTACTCTGAAAATGTAATTAAATTACTGATTACTGATTACTCCTTTTAAAAGTAATCATGTTACTGTTCTGATTACTTTATTTCAAAAGTAATTAGTTACATTACTAGTTACTGTTACTTTATTCTCCATTACATTTATGAAATCCCAGCATACACGCTCCCGATAAGTATTTGTTATTAAAGCATCAACAATCAATCGTGCGGTGTATGGGACGCGAGTGTTCGTGCTTACCAATAACCAAACTGAAAGTCTCGACATGTCGATGCTAGCATCCTTTTAGCAATTAGCTTAGCTTAGCAGTTTAGTAGCGTAGCTCCAGTTAGCCTCACGTTCTATAGAACACCTGCGCGTTGTTACAGTGTCACAGAATGCCAGCAAAGAGCGCTGCATTTATAGTCTCTAAACGACATCTCAGTTCATAGTTATAATATCTCTCAAATCTCTGTTATAACACAATAAATATAAGCATAATTAATCGTTCATAATGTCTACAATTCGTGTGTTATAATGAGAGGATTCGTGAGCACGCAGATTTCAGCACTGCATTGCTCAACACTGCAAACACGTGTTACAGCCTAAATAGAAACTCTGCATATGCTTGCACCTGTTAATCGTTTATATTTTATATTAGTTCATGTTGCTTTTGTGCAATAGATGAATAACAATTTCTTTGTTTTAGATATTTTATGTTTAGATATTTCTATTTTGCGGGAGTCCCGTGAATCATTTTATTCTCCCGCATCCCGCACACACAAATTTCCGAAGAGAGATTTCGAACACACACAGCGGAGAGATTTCAGCATGAAGGATGAAAACCACACTCAACGAGTGAGTAAAGTCGTTCCCTCTCGAGCTTCAACGAGACATCACGGAGATATTTCTCCGTTATGGGAACTCCTTCCCTTCCAACCTTTGCCACAGTGGTGACGGCTAACATTACTGCTCCTCGCCAGGAGCCGGATTTCCGCAGGAAGGCGTGGGGTCCCGGGAGGAAACGCCACGGCCAGCGGAGGAGCCCGCGACGTGACTCTCGCCCGCCGTCGTCCTGCCGGTCTGAAGAGAGGAGGAGAGTGCGTGAGCGGCCCGGCTCCCAAGCGCCACAAGTTCATGGTTTCAAATGTTTGTGTGTTGGATGTTCATTCAATAAAAATGCATACATTCTCACAAAAAGAGCTATTTCCTCCTCCCTCAGTCAATGCGGTGCCACTCGCCCCGCCTCAGAGCAGTGCAGAGCCGCCGCCCACACACTCGCCGGCGCATCCAACGAACAAGCCGCAAAAGCCGCTATGTCAGTTCCTGAGCGCGTGGGAAGTTATTCCAGGAATCTCGCGCTGGCTCCTCGGTGTGATAGAGCTTGGGTATACCCTTCAATTCAGACGCAGACCACCCCGTTTCAATGGCGTGGTGCAGATGCAGCGGTATGTCATCTGGGCTTATTACACATGCGCCCCCTGCAATTATGGTTGAAATCTCGAGTCCCTTGGACGGCGTGGACTTTCGGCCGTTTGCGCATCGCGGTCTCTCTGCATCGAAGCTCCGTGGCACAACCCAGATCTCTTCAGCCGGGGGGTTCCCCTGGGCTTGGTGACGTCACGCGTTGTGGTCACGACGGACGCATCGACTCGCGGCTGGGGAGCAGTGTGCGAGGGCATGCCAGCTTCGGGGCTGTGGTCAGAACCCCAGAGCCGGTGGCACATAAACCGCTTGGAGCTGGAAGCAGTGTTCTTAGCTCTAAAGGATTTTCAGCCGTAGCTGGAACAGCGACAGGTGCTGATTCGCACCGACAACATGTCTGTGGTCTCGTACATAAATCACCAAGGAGGCGTACGTTCCAGGGCTTTGTACAAGCAAGCAGCGAATCTCCTGCTATGGGCGGACCGTCACTTTCTCTCCATCAGAGCAGCGCACATCCCCGGTCTCCTGAACCGCGGGGCGGACATGCT